CTGTGTAGGGATGCTTTATTCTGGCACTCCAGCTGGGTTACAAGGGGACCTAAATACTAAGCAGATTTCACAGATACCTCTTCAGGGTCCTAAGTCTCCACCCAGGATCGTTTCCATTCCAAAACCACCCACTTGGGGCACCTCATCTGAGCCTGGAAAAGTTGTGTATTGCCTTCTGTGCCTTGAAAGCGGTCACAATGGCAGCAGCGTGGAAGTTCATATTTGGCTAAATAAGTGAGCTGATTCCCCAGCTTGTCTCCAGCAGCACCACTTTCCAAAAGCTCCCTGGCCAAGTTTTACTTCCACAACAGTAGAAGGAGATCCCACCCATTATTTACAAACTACCAAATGGTGAATGTTCTCATTTCACTGAGATCTGAGGGGATGCCACAGAACACTACTGCTTTCTGGTTGGGTGGTGCCCCCTCCAATCTTGGTAGGGGTTTTACATCTTACCTGATGGTACTCTGAAGTGTAGCATTGCTCACTGACGCTAGGCTGATCCTGAGAACATCTACAAAAATCTTACCAAGTTTTTCAGATGATTTGTACTTCCTCCTCAAATTGAAAGTGACATCCTTTCTCTTCCCAAGGTATTAGCTTCAGTAAGCTGGGAGAGGTGCCTTGGTATTCTTGTAACTTAAGTTTAACCGCATCAAAGTATATCAGTAAGGAAAACTTCAGAAATGTTTGGATACAGTTGACCCAGACAGGTGACACAGGGGTGTTCATTTTATCTCAGGCACCCCTTTTTCTGGACCAAGGCTTCTTACTGAAACATACAAGCAGGGCCTTTTGTAATTAAGATCCTAAGATTTTTGAAACTTTGATGAGTAAGCTGTTGTAAAAACTGTTGTTTAAAAGCTGAAATCAGCTTTGGTGTTACAAGAGATAGAGGCTTGAAATCAGCTTTTGGACATTTATTTATTTATAGTAATATGAATAAAAAAACTATAAAGTTAACCAAATGCAGATGTCTTAGACTCTGAATCTAAGTGTTTAGTTTGTTTATATAATTTGTTGTATATGATTATTCCTAATAGACTTGGTTACTTTGGGAAGGTTAGACTCTTCTATGCTGTAAATCTTTAAATTGTTCCTTTGGAGTTGTGAGGATCTTGTTTAGGTAGTTTTCAGGAGATGAGAAGATAACACAGAGAGATTTGTAAGAAATACATAAAGTTGCAGTCTTCTCCTAATGGTAGAAGAGGAACTGGACTTTATATGTTAGGCTGGAGTTGGACAGGAAATATCCTCGACAGTGCTCCTTGGTGTTCTGAATATTAAAATCATTTGAATTAGTGTAAGCTAACCAGTGAACTTATTTGTAAAGATTCAGAAGAATCGGCCAGGTGTGGTGGCTCAAGTCTGTAATCTCGGCACTTTGGGAGGCTGAGGTGGGCAGATCGCTTGAGCTTAGGAATTTGAGACCAGCCCGGGCAGCATGGTGAAACCCCACCTCCACCAAAAATACAAAAAATTAGCCGGGTGTGATTGTGTGCATCTGTGGTCCCAGCTATTCAGGAGGCTGAGGTGGGAGGATTGCTTGAGTTTGGGAGTTGGAGGCTGCAGTGAGTAGAGATCATGCTACTGCACTCCAGCCTGGGTTATAGACTGAGACCCCATCTCAAAGAAAAAGATAAAGGAAAAAAAATGGGGCTCAGAGGAATAACATAGACTCCCAAGGCAGGAAGTTCGCTGGACCTTAGGGGATTCCAGGGGATGCTGGGATCTCAGATAAAGAAAATCAAGCCAGCCAGGCACTCAGATTTTCTACAGTCACTTTGTCACTCATCTTTGTTTATACTTTGTTTTATCTCTACAGCTCAGTTTTTCCTGTTTATTAGTGTATAAGTGCCTAAAAGGTGATACCCCGGTCAAACTTTACATCTTCTCAGTTCAAGCAAGCAAAAGAGGAAATCCAATTTCCAAGCATAAGAATAAAATTGTCCCAGGATGGGTCAGGTTCCCATGCTTAGTCCAGTTAGCTATAGTCAGAAGGCTATAAAGACAATAGTCCAGGGCTATAGACAAGGGCTGCTAGAGCTCATAGAGGATTGTGGACTAAATACCACAAAGCATGCCTGTTACCCTGGGCTTCATACAGCTCAGTCTGGGCTTATGTTCTGGCTGGCTACATACACTGCTAATTCTGAATAACCCAGTATTCAGAAAATGTGCAGCTTGTGAATTACTATGTTTTAATGTGGCTCACTTGTTGCGGCTACAGAGCAACTTAACCTCTGTGGATAGGGGTGTGGTTTCTTTGAATGGAAATTCCTGCAATTCATCATATTAGTAAGTGGCAGGTTCTGGAGAACAAAATGAAACAAGGAGGCAGATATTAGACTGGATAAACTTGATACATAATTTCTGCTCTCTGAGTTACTCAGAAGCTGGACTTGGATTCTTAGGCATATAAGTGGTTAGAGAACTTTCTAACCACTGGGGTGGGGTGAGCTGGTCCCTACTACATTGGGACAGAAAAAGAAGCTAAATAAGGAGGCACCTTATAAAGGATACTGAAGATATTCCTGGGTGTCTGGTAGCTCAGAAAAGCTACAGCTACTTGTAATTATAAGTTACCTTCTAAATCTTCAGTAAAATATGGATGGGGAAGTCGAAGAACCTGTTGCATCTTAGGGATGTGGTAGCAGAAAGTAAGGTTGAGCATATCCCTGCTGCTCTTACCAACATCCGGTCCACAGTGGCAGAGCCAAAGAGAAGACACCTAGAGCCAAAGATGGAAGAAGGAGAGGTGTGGCACTTGGATAAGAACAACTTGAACAAATATGAGATAGGACTTTGGGAGACTCTCAGAATAAAAAAAAAAAAAAGTGGGGGAAACACTTTGTGATAGGTTCCTGCAGTTTGGTAAATTGGGGCTTGAAATCATCATAATATGGGAATTAAAGTAAATGAGGCTGGGCGAGGTGGCTCAAGTCTTTAATCCCAGCACTTTTGAGAGGCCAAGGCAGGCAGATCACCTGAGGTCAGGCATTCAGGACCAGCCTGGACAACATGGTGAAAACCTGTCTTTACTAAAAAAATACAAAAAATTAGCTGGGCATGGTGGCGTGTGCCTGTAATCTCAGCTACTTGGGAAGCTGAGGCAGAAAAATTGCTTGAACCCGGGAGGCAGATGCTGCAGTGAACCAAGATTGCACCACTGCACTCCAGCCTGGGCGACAGAGTGAGACTCTGTCTCAAAAAAATAATAATAAAATAAATAAATAAATAAATAAATAAATAAATAAAGTAAATGTGACTTCATTTTGTAGTCGTAGGCTGACAAGGCCTGTACATGCCAGATACAGCTGAAAGTGAAAAACAAATGGAACTAAACAATGGGTAAATCATTAAGCAAAGTATATTGATATGATAGAATATTTTGTAGCCACTGAAAATAATATTTACAACAGATACCTGGGGAAAATCACATCGTATATTCTTGAGGAAAAAACCCACATGATATCTAGTATCATATCTACTATGCACAGAGGGTAGAAAAATAAAATATTAACAATGGTTGCCTCTAGGTAGTGAAATTGTGGCTGATTTTTTTCCTGCTTCTTTGTTCTTTCGTAGTCTTTTGAATGCTTATGTTGGATGCATATTACTTATTATTTTTAGAATTAGAATTCGAAACAAGAAAAAAGTTTAATCTGTTTTGTCATTGGTAACACCTCTTATAAGCTAGTTTATATCTAAATCAATGCATGCAGAAGTATTTGTATATTATCTTTAGTTTAACAATCATAGTAAAGAAATTCCAAGCAAAAAGGATGTCATGTAGCAAGCTCTGCTCCATCATCCTTTGTTCTTACATCCTTCTCTAAGACTCTGTCTGGCCTTTTTAAGGGAAGTTCCCTCACTGGACTAACCACGCTCTTCCTTTCCTCTTCTTCATGCAGATTATCTCCAATATTCCAGGGCCTTCTTTCTCATCTCTGTCTTTACCATACTCATTGGCCTTAGCTGGCTCTTCAGCTCTTGGCTCCCTAGTCGAGGAAGCATGACCACCAATTTGGATCTGAAGGTATCCATACTCAGCTTCATCTCAGGTACAGACCTAGATCGGCAGGGTATTTTACCATGGTGATAATCAAGGTAACGAATTTTCTCTGTGAGACTCTTATACTCTTTTTCTTATGTCTTTGCTCTTCTTCAGTATCACACCAACTTGCCAGCTATCTGCCTTATCTAATTATATAGAACACACCTTCGCCGACTTTACCAGGGTATAGATCGTGTTCTCTCACCTTGGTCAATCCCCAAGTTTTTATCTTTTTGATCCTTGCTATACATATGGCCTCTGGAGGCTGAGGAGCTGGGGGTGGCGGGGAAGGCAGACTGAAGATGCTGATGGGTTGTGACATCTTTTCTTCCGGTCCTAGCTACCTGCTTGCTCCTCTGCCTCAACCTGTTTGTGGCACAGGTTCACTGGCATACTAGGGATGCCATGGATTCAGATCTCCTATGGACCTATTATCTTAACTGGTGCAGTGACATCTTTTACGTGTTTGCTGGTGAGTCATTCCCCTGCTCTATGCTAGAAGGATGGATAGGGAAATCGCTTCTGGAAAGGGAGGTATAATATAGGAGAAGTAGAAGCACTGACTTTCTTTTCAGAACATTGATACTTGGAGAGTTAGTGTGGCATAATGAAGAAAGGGTGGATTTTAGAGTCTGAAAACCTAGCATTAGTAACTTGTTCTATCACAAAGTGAGGCATGGACGAGTTGAGTAACTTGCCCAAGGCCACACAGAAAATAGTGGAACTATGATTTGAATCCAGGAGGTTCAAGCTTTGTCCTAACCAGTCTGAGAAATATTATAATGCAATTAGAGCACAAGAGGGTAAAGTAACTCTGCTGGGAGAGAGAGGGGTTCACTAAAAAGATGTCTTTTGAACTGGTTATTAAAGGAGGAGTAAGAATTTTAAAAGCCAAAAGACCATTGCCTATTGAACCTCACCTCAAATTATTCCCTTCCCCTAGGCATCATCTCTCTTCTCAACTACTTAACTTCCAGATCTCCTGCCCGTGATGAAAATGTCACTGTGATTCCAACAGAGAGATCAAGGCTGGGGGTTGGTCCAGTGACTACAGTATCACCTGCTAAAGATGAAGAAGAGCCAAGGTCTGAGATGGAATCTCTAAATGTGAGAGAGAAAAATTTACCAGAGGCAGGACTGTGATGGTGATAGGAAAACCTAACTATAGCTTGTCTTAAAAGCAGGGGAGAAGCTGAGTTGGGAATGATCGCATAAATTCTTGGAAACCCTCCTAATATCATGTCCATATTACTGGAGGAGACAACATTAAACCTGATGAAATGTCTTTTGCGTGCATTGGATCCAAAATAGGTATGATAGCAATAAAGTAAGTAATAACTCACTTAAGAAAAACATTTCTAAAAGAAAACAACAATGTTTAGAGTCATGAATGAAAGAAACTAGTGAAAGATGCAGTGTGTAGACCAGAGACTTCTTTGGGTATGAGGGATCTCATGGACCAGAAAGGCCCATGGAGAAGAACGTTAATTACTTCTATTTAGAATTTTCTTTATTATGTGTGGCTTTGGGTATACTCCGGATGGAAAGCACTTGGACAAATACTGTTGAATCTGAACTTGATAGCGTTACCAGAAATGGAGTAAATATCAATGGATATAAGACCTACTACTCAAAGGAACTGAGAGGTGCTGGGTAGATTCTAGGGAATCCATGAGGTCCCACTTACTGTGAGGACTGATAATTTGAAACCTTTACGGTCTGTTACGTAAAACCACTGCTTCTCCCTAGGCAGGGAGATACCTTAACCAGGCATCCACAAACTCCCTGAAATTCTATACAAAACTTGTATATGTATTCTTCTGTGAAGAGGGCCAGAGATTCCATCAGATTCTTCCTTCCCCCTGCCCCGCCCCCGGAAGATAGTTTCAAGTAAACTCCATCAAATTCTTGACAGGCCTGTGACCTCTTTGATTCCTTAAGCATCGATTATGTTTTACTGAGCCAAATGGGACTAAAGGGCTTCTTCAGCAGATGTACAGATAGATAGACAGATAGATAGATAGATAGATAGATAGATAGATAGATAGATAGATAAATAGATTGATAGATAGATGATAGATCGATAGATAGGCCTATCTATATCTATAATACATCTACATCTATATCTATACAAGCTGAAAGATTTTCCATGTTTTATATATATCCTGTAAAGCTAAGTACGGAGGGAGGAGGTGGTATTTTCAGACAATCATGTAGGTCTTTTGATGGCTAAAGATCTCTTTCACACTCAGACTAGATTTCACACACAAGGTCCCTGATACTCATTTTGTCTTTCATACCCTTAGTTGCTGCCACTATTGGTTGAGATCCATTTTTCTCCCCAAAGCTGGCAATGAAATGGACTATAATGTCCAGCTTCACTCTTGTTGTGTGTAAAGATAAGCCCTTGGATCCTTTTGGTTTAATTTAGAGATTCACTAGTAACCTTTGCAGAAAACAAAAATAATAGACATTGAGCAATTATATAATTTTTATAATCCTGGTCCTGATCAGTAATTCCCAAACATTTCCAGATGGTAACTGGAAGCCCTTTAAGTTAATACTTATGCTTTTATTCCTGTGGGTTGGAGCTTACATACAGCACACAAATGTATGCACCCACACACAGATACACAGACATATATACACATTTTGATCCTGCCGTAGAAAACCCTTTCTTCATGCCCCTCTTCCGACCAGGCGAGTTTCATTATGGCAGAATTACTTGTGCCTCCTTACTTCAAGTGGCCTTAGTTCAGAGCCTCTTCAGACTATTCCTGGGCCTTTGTCTGGTTGTAAGAACAGACATGTAGTCAAAGTCAACTCTCCCTCCTCACATTACCACTCACACAAACTCTAACCTATACATGAACTGGTTAAGTACTCACTGGGTTCACAATCTTTATTTGTAATTTAGTTTGAATACTTTAATTATATGACTAAATTGACAGGATACTGAACACTGATGACTCTTCAAGAAACAAAAGTTCTAAATGGGGTGAAGAGAAGAAAGTAAGTCTGAGTGAAGGTGGAAGAAGCGAGATAATAAGAAAGTAATGCCAGGTACGGCGGTTCACGCCTGTAATCCCAGCACTTTGGGAGGCCAAGGCGGGTGGATCACTTGAGGTCAGGAGTTCGAGACCAGCCTGGCCAACATGGTGAGACCCCCCGTCTCTACTAAAAACACAAAAATTAGCCAGGCATGGTGGCACGCGCCTGTAATCCCAGCTACTTGGGAGGCTGAGGCAGAAGAATTGCTTGAACCTGGGAGGCTGAGGTTGTAGTGAGCTGGGATTGAGTCACTGCACTCCAGCCTGGGCGACACAGCAAGACCCTGTCTCAAAAAAATAAAATAAAATAAAATAAAAAAAGAAGCTTAAGTGGATTTTCAGTCAGATAGCTCATAAATTACCCTTTTGTACACACCCTTTGTTCCATATATATTTTGTAATAGGTTAAGTGGGAAGAGAGAGACGGAGAGAGAGAAGAATAGTCCAGTTAAAATAGATAAACATTTTCATAGACTGGAAAAAAGAAAAAAAGCAATGCTATGATTCAAGCTAAGCCCTAGACTTCATAGGCTGTAAGTCCCAAAGAAAGCATAAGTGAACAGGGAGACAGCTCCTATATGGTGAAAGGGACTAAAAGTGCTTCTCAAGACATGGACTAAAGCCAGCTTCGCAACCCTACATGAAAGAGGAGCTCTAGAAAAGAAGCTAAACACTTTGTATCTCAATCTTCTCACTATAAAATGTGTATACTACCATAGATTTCAATGAAAATGAAATTAAATGATATATTCTAGTACTTCCCATATTTTCAAGTATGTGAATATATGAAGAACTAAAAAAGAACTACTTCTAGTTATTTTCCATATATTCTACAATATAATCTTTTACATGAAAAGTCTCAATGTGTAAATACTTCTGAGTCTATACAATAAATGTCTAAGGAAATGAAGTCATTACCAAAGCAAAACTTAAGAACTAAGGCTGTGATATCAGATCATTTTCAACTTGTCCTGCTTCCGTGGCTAAATAAATAGAAAATCATGAAAAAGTCTTTATTTCTTCTAATGTTTTATTCCTCAGTTATGGGAAAGTGGAAAAAAATAGGGCCTGCATTTATAGGGTTTTGCATATGACTAAAATTGGTTATACGTGAGTTAAGATATAGAATGCACCACCTACCACAGTTCTTTTTTCACAATATATGTAAGTGTAAATATGAAAATATTGAAGACTCCCAATCTCTCTTAATGTCTATTCATTCTATTCATTAATTTCTATTCATTCCTGTATAACTCTAAGATGTTCTGATGACACAAGAAGAGGTCACTGAAGAGTGCTATTATTGATACATTCATGCTATATTGCTTCATTATTTCTGGATGTTGCCTATTGTAGCATCTAATCTATCATCCTTCTAATGTATTTTGATAAATATTTGACTAGTATATGCCAAATTATCACAAATATTTGAAAAATATTGAATTATTACTTGTTTCTCCTTATCGATTCATTTAAGCAGTCAACTCTCTTTTTTTAATTATACTTTAAGTTCTAGGGTACATGTGCATAACGTGCAGGTTTGTTACATATGTATACTTGTGCCATGTTGGTGTGCTGCACCCATCAACTCGTCATTTACATCAGGTATAACTCCCAATGCTATCCTTCCCCTCTCCCCCTCCCCATAATAGGCCCCGGTGTGTGATGTTTCCCTTCCCGAGTCCAAATGATCTCATTGTTCAGTTCCCACCTATGAGTGAGAACATGCAGTGTTTGGTTTTCTGTTCTTGCGATAGTTTGCTGAGAATGATGGTTTCCAGCTGCATGATAAAAGACAGTAAAATATTTTAGAAATCATATTGTCCTTTAAATCCAATTGGTTATGGTTTCAAGTAACTTCTCTCTACTTGCAAATATTTCTGGTCTTAGAGCAGTCCACTCAGCCACACTACAATGAGCAGCACAGATTTTTTTTTTTTTTAAAAAAGGAAACAAAGCACACAACATGTCCCAGAGTTTGAGATAAAAACATTGAAAAAATGCCTGTGAATATCAACAATGTATTTTAAAACAAAAAAAGTTTATAATCTGTTCTTACCAAATATATGCTATTCATTATTTCTTCCTGTCAATATTTTCAATATTAAAGAATACTATAATGACATAGAAAATGTAAACTATATTGTGGGTTCAAATGATAGAATCTACAGTAAAGGTAGTATTGGTATCGAGCTGGTAGAAATGTTCATCTTAATCCACATGATGATATGTCATTATATTTATAGCATAATGAGTCAAGGTAAATTAATGGATATTTATTTAGATAAATATGTTTATTCTGCTCTCTATATTTCAGTAACTTCTAAGTTTCAGTCTTTATTTTCATACTTTATCTTTTATTTGGAAACTATTTGTCAAATGACTGATAAGCCTTGAGTACTAGTTCAAACTTGGTCAGGTTTAGAAAGTTGTTTCAAAGCTCTGAGTGATATGTGAAGATCAATTGGAAAGATGAGTACTTTCGTAGGAAACTCTTTGCCTCATTGGAGATATTATTGGTCTTCAGTGCTAACAGGTCTTTTTTCAGATACTTTAAATTATTACAGAAAACAAAACAAAACAAAACATTTATCTACATGCTGCATGAATGGCTTCCAGTGTTCTTGGAGTTGTGTGGTAGAAGGGTACTGGGGATCTCCCACTTAAAAGTGAATTATTAGATTCAATCCTCCATTTCTTAGGAAACCTCATCTTTGGCCATTGTCATACCTGATGTATATGCATTCATAGTATTAGTTAAATTTTCTTCCCAGAATAAACTTTGAAATATCAGAAGGTGATATTTAACATTGTTTAGAAGAGTGAATAAATCAAAGATAGCAAGTTTTAAAAAAAAAAAAAAAAAAGAAGCTAAACAAAAACTGCTGCCAGCACTAACTAGCTTATTTGGAACTGCAGACCTAAAGAGGGAGAAGGACACAAATGTAACCTTGCTAAACTAAGCAGCCTGTGGGTTCATTTACTGTGTCTGTGATATTCCTTGGTAGCATAACAGAACAGAAAATCTAAAGTACCACATTATCAGACCTGATTCTTGACTGAGGCCTTTGGCCAATGTAAGGAAACCCCAAAACTACTAGGTATGACAGAATAAGCATAGAGGGAGAAAGAAACAAAAACAAATAAACCAAATGTTTGTGCCTACAAATAGGAATTCCAGACATGTAAAGAAATGTTCAGTCAGGCGTGGTGGCTCATGCCTGTAATTCCAGCACTTTGGGAGGCCAAGGCAAGAGGATTGCTTGAGCCCACTAGTTTGAGACCAGCCCTGACAACATAGTGAGACCCTATCTGTACAAAAACTTAAAAAATTAGCTGGGTGTGGCGGCACACTCCTGTAGTACTAGGAGCTTGGGGAGTCCTGTAGTTTCTGAATCCTCGAGCCTGGGAGGTCGGGGCACCAGTGACCATGGTCACGCCACTGCACTCCAACCTGGGCGACAGAGCAAGACTCTGTCTGAAAAAAAAAAAAAGTTCAGAAAAAAAGTAACAAAGTCAACAATCAGAATATGAATTCATTCTGGATTAATTTGGGGTATAATGTGATAAAGACTAAGTATTCTTAGGATGCACAGATATATGACAGAATCATAAATTTTTAAAAAAGACCCAAAACCGTGAAACAAAATAGGTAGAAATAAAACAAGAACAGGTTTAAATAAGAAAGAACCAACTATAAATAATTAAAATGAAAAAGTACTAATTGGAATAAAAAATCCAATAGGATAAAATCTAGATAGCACAAGCAACAGAAAGAGAACTATTTTATTTTTAGATCTATATAGAACATTTACAAAAATTGACCAAATACTATATAGTTTCAATAAATGTCAAAGGATATATCAGTCCATGGATCCTGACCATAATGAAATTAAATTAGAACTCAATAATGTGAGTTATTAAAAAAAATACTTGTCCAGACATGGTGGCTCATGCCTGTAATCCCAACACTTTGGGAGGCGGAGGCAGATGGATCACTTGAGGCCATGAGTTTGAGATCAGCCTGGCTAACATGGTGAAACCCATCTCTACTTAAAAAAATAAATAAATAGCTGGGTGCAATGGCAGATGCCTGTAGTCCCAGTTACTTGGGAGGTTGAGGCACAAGAATTGCTTGAGCCTGGGAGGAAGAGTTTGCAGTGAGCTGAGATCATGTCTCTGCACTCCAGCCTGGGTAACAGAACGAGACTGTTTAAAACAAAACAAAACAAAAACAAAAACAAAGCTCTACATCTTTTAGGACAAAATGATGCTCCCTAAAAAAATTGGGTAAAAAGGAAATCACAACAGAAATGATAAAATATTTAGAACTAAACAACCATGAAAGAATTACTATAACCAAAACCCATAGATGCATTAAAATAAAACAACCGACAAAAATAGTTTAAAATAAATGAGTTATGTGTTCAATTCATGAACCTGTAAAAGAATAACTAGAAAAGCCAAAAGAAGGAAGAAAATTTTAAAACTAAACTTTGTAAAAATATGAAAAAAAACCTTAGGTTCAAATGATAGACTAAAATCTAGTTCTTTTGACAAAAATTAAATGAAAGGCAAACTACAAGTAAACCTAATTAAGCAAAAAAAAAAAAAAAAAAAAAGAAAGCATGAAAAGGACGTAACTAAAGTATATATGTAGGTACACATATTTACATTACTCGAGCATATTTTATTATTTAAATCTTCTGTTTCTTTACTACTCTTTGGTGTTTTTTGTTTGTTTGTTTTGAGATGGAGTCTTGCTCTGTCTCCCAGGCTGGAGTGCAGTGGCTCGATCTCGGCTCACTGCAGCCTCTGCCTCCCGGGTTCAAGTGATTCTCCTGCCTCAGCCTCCCGAGTAGCTGGGATTACAGGCACTCACCATCACGCCTGGCTAATTTTTGTATTTTTCGTAGAGATGGGGTTTCACCATGTTGGCCAAGCTGCTCTTGAACTCCTGACCTCAAGTGATCCGCCTGCCTCGGCCTCCCAAAGTGCTGGGGTTACAGGCCTGAGCCACCATACCCTACCACCTTTACTACTCTTTGTTTTATGTTTTTCTGTGTTAAGTCTCCCATGATGGCTTCACGTTTTAAATTTTTTCCTTGTAATACTATCAAT